TATAGGAGACAGCTGGTAAACACTGGTTACAGAATCAGCCACAATTAATTTGTCCTAAAACCTTATTTTAAACGTAATCATAATTTGAAAGAAGTGTAATAAGCTTACAGGAACTCGCTTCTGGACAGCAATTACAGCACAGTCAACTCCTTTCACCGCCACTGCAGTAAGATTTGTGGAATGTATGGCTTTGAATGCATATTCTAAAAAAATGTTATACTAAGTTTGACGGGAGAAGAATTTTAAAGAAAACGGAGAACTGCAAAACCAGACAAAAACCAGAAGGGTTAATACCGCTTACATGATTAACACAGTAAACACCACTTACCAACTTGATAAACTCGTCCTTCCGGTGAAAAGATTGTAATATGTCTGTCAAACCCTGCACCACTACCTCGTGACATTTTATAGAACAGATTAGACCTAGAAACTTAATTACTGATGGAATATATCAGATTTAAACATCGTTAACCAATAGTATAAACAGTAAAAAACAATAACGCAGTGTTAAGCAAGCAAAAAACTTTCACAGTAAACAAAAAAAGTTATTTTACGGAGAAGTTCTTCTATAAGAACAATGAATTAGTTTACAGAAACCAAATCAGAAACACTGGTTAAGTTCTCTACTGTGTTCACTCAGTACAGGTCGTAAAACGCAACACTAAAAATTGTTAACTTCACCTCTTAAACAGCCATAAAAAAGAAAACACTCATAAAAAGTAAAGGAAGAAAATGATGACTTTTAAGATAATGACAATTCAGAAATGGTAGCAATTTTAGCAGCTGCTGTATCAAACTCACAAATTATTGGTGGATAACCTTATAAATGTTTTTGACAACCGAATTTAACTCTGTCAGCAATCATTTTGAAGGCAACAAGCAATTTACTAGTAGTTGTTGTCGGGACGAGCTTTAGTTGGAGTTGCCAATGTTTCACTATGATACTACAATTTAGTTGAGTGGAACACCGAATATAATACAGCAAAAAATAAATAAATGCAATATATCAGCTACACAATATAATCAAATTTTGTATCACTCACTCTACAAATGTTCCTCAAACAGAGTCTAATTTAGCCTAATCTTCCCATCTCAACAAGGTCTGATACAAAACATCAACTGCAGTTTGTTACAAAAATTTCATGTGCTATTTGGTGGGCATGATCAAATGATTGATATCAAACTAATCGACTAATACGAGCCATTGATAACTTGATTCAATAACAGTTAAATTATACGACTATTGCTTCATCCGATCAGTATATGCTGCGTTCAAGCTCTATATTCAGAAAAAAAGATGTCCACCTTCACATCTTCATCAAAATGTCTGTAACAATTACGACAGTCTGAAAGTTTTCGTTTATTCTAGATTTTCGACGCCTTTTACTGTTATTAACCATCCATATACTAAATCAGATACGGCATTCATTTCCTCTGTCTTCCCGTAACAACCGACAAAACTTTGAAACACCCAGAAAAACATAGTGAACAGTATATGTCTAGCAGTGACCTGGAGAACGTAATTGCTGGCAAAAATTTTATAAGACGACTTTCACAGTTGTATGTTAAAGATTCAAAGAACTGAAACAATCACTTTACGCATTAACCATCTGAAACTAATCTAAATTTACTTATAATGCTGTCTAAAGCGCACATTGGTCTATGTGAGCACTCACGGAACTGAGCATAGTCTTAACATTTTTTTAGAGCGCTGAATTGAGCAATCTTGTCCTACCACGCAAACTGATCTTTGTTTTACTACTAATACGAGTTCTTGGAAACGATTACGCAATATTGCTGCAATTTGTTGATTATGGAATGAAATATAAATAGAATAAAAATGTTCGGGTGTCTTGTGGCTGAATACGAATACATTGACTGTCGTTTGCTGTTGGAGGTATAAAATTTGCGGGAGACTTATATCTGTCAGGTAGAATCCTTTAATATTTTTGTTTTTATTAATCTTCACTTTTATAATCTGTATAACTGTACCTTTGATTGGCTTGTTTGTGGATTCTCTAATAGAATTTTGATCTTGCTGCTAGTCTGCTTTTGCTTCTGTTTTTTTTTTTTTTTTTTTTGAACTCAGTGCTTGGCATTTT